TGGTGGTGTTCTATCCAGTACGTGGACCCCACAACGAACGCGCCGAACCGAACGCAGTGTTTTGAGCGCATGAGCGTCGCGTTGCCGGCGTTCTTTGTCGGCAAGTACATTTCGTTGAACTCGGGTTCGCGGTATGTCGACAACGCCGACGTCGTGGCCGGATCAACGATCGGCAACTTGCAGTCGTACCACTACAAGCACCACGAGGTGCAGCCGTTGGCGTCCATCAAGATGGCAACACTGGGCAACCGGACGACGTGGGCGGCATGGATTCCCGAGGTGATTGCGACCGTCGCGCAGACGCCCGTCGACACGAGCGACGCGATCGAAGAGCTGTGTTTTGTCGGTGACGGGTGCTTTGCCGCGTGCTTGAATGAGACAGCGAGCGGTGGGACCACGTTCACGTACAGGCGCGGCGGCGAGTGTGTCGGGACCATCGACTCGGTGGCAATAAGCCTCCACGAGTTGTACGCTGACTTAGCGTGCCTCGGCCTCGGCATGGGCACATCCCACATCCAAGTCACGTATCTCAATTCCGCCGGCGTCCGATCGACGCGTGTCGCGTCACAGGCCGCGTCGCCAATGGCGATCTTGGCGTGCATCGTCGGCGGGCGTGTTCCGAATGGCGACTATTTGCCCTCGAATTTCATCGATATGGTGTCCCGGGGCACGGAAGCGTCTTTGGTTGTCACGTCGTCCAATGGCAGCGAAGCAATCATGCTCAACTGTATCGCGCTCATCTCGCTGCTCGGGTACGTGTACTTTCTGCTTTGGATTGCAATTTTTACGTGGCGCACTCTGCGCTGGGTTGCCGCTTTGGCAAAAACCAACGAAAACGTCGCACAGCTGCGCTTTAGCACCTACCGCGCCAACTTGAGCACGCGTGTTTGGATGCGGGAGCGCTCGACCATGTCGGTCACTGGATTTCTGGGGCTCGTGGCTTGGCACCTCGGTGCGAGCCAATGCAAGTGCGTCTGGCTCAACACGGCATCGGTGGCCGACGACCCGGCGTACGTCTGCAGCATCAACCCAATCGGGCACGTTTCCGAAATCAGTGAAGTCGTTCGGCTGCTGTCGCATGCGTGGGTATTGTTTGCTCTTGCGTTTTTGGATCTCTTTCCGGGCCTCACCGTGCACTTTGCCGGGTACGCGGTCGCTGTCGTGCTGCTGGCCTTGATTCCGTTGTTGCTGTGGGCGATTCCACTGGCGTATATGATGCGTGTGTGGGCCTCGACGCCGTGGCTGCAATGGATGCACAGTCATCTCTTTCTCGCTCTCTTGTGGCTCAGTGTCCTATCGCTCATGCGCAGCCGGTGTTTTGCGCTGTACCGCCGCATGGTCGAGCGCTGCTTGTACTGCGTCGGCTTGCGCCAACAACGAATCGACGCCAAGAGCCCCCTCCGGTCGATTCTCGGCGCGTACTTTTGGACCGACGCGGTCGATGTGTGCGATGACGACACGGCGTATGTCCCGCTGAGCTTGCTCTTGCAGACCAAGGACGTGGCGATGGATCGCATTTGTGACCACGAATACTGGTTGTGCCAAGAAGATTTTGATGCGCGCGATCGGAGCCATACGCTACCCACCACCCATCCCAAGTGGGTCCTCGAGCACCGTGGGTACTATGTGCGGGGCATCAAATAACGTCGCTCGCCCGCTCCATCATATCAAATGGGCAGACCATCACATCATCCAGCTGTCAGATGATCAGACCACCGGTAGCACTCTATCCATTTATCAAATTATCCATTATATATGAACGTGTTCCGCGTTAATTTCGCAACAAAGAGTTCGCATACGTAGTGCTACGCCTGAATGCGTGCGAGTTGGCACCAGAACTTGGTCGTCGGGAGTGAGCTGCGCACGGAGAGATCCATCCCGTGGTGGACCCCACTCGCCGAGCAAATTATCAATTAATCAACTTGTATCATTTCATCATTTTATCAATTTCTGCTGATTATCAATAATTGCATAGATTCACCACCGTGTCATGGCCAAGCGGGCTGCTCTTCCGCCCACAAGATGTTTTGACACTGTACACACCCACAACGTTCTTCAACTGTAATTGTGTACAGGTCGTTGCGTCGATATCCGGTTGGTATATTTCAACATAAAAGGACTATAAAAAAGTGTCTACGTGGAAACGAATGTGTCATGTCGCAACGCACACATAGTATTCGAGTTGCGTGAGGACCCAGTCGGGGTGCGATCGTGGCTTTTTGGATACGTCATCACGATCGGGGTCGACGCCGTAGGTATAGTACGTGTGATCGGCAATATTCTCCAACATGATGCCCTTGGTCTTCAAGAGCACGCTCATTGGCACATACACCACGTCTTCTGGTTGGAAGAGCGCCACAGGGGTCCAAAAATGCGTGCCAATCAACGTTCGAAACGGGCTTTGGCGGTCGATCGACTGTTTGCGCATGCCGATTCGGTAGAGACACCAGTCGACGAAGCGCCTGTACGGCAACGCGAGACGGCTGCGCATGAGGGCGCACACTGCGAGCCAAAAGAGAATCAAAAAGAGCTGGCTGTGCATCCACGCCAGCCAGCTCCATTGGGCACGGAGTTGCCAGAGCTCGGCGATCACGTAGGCCCAAAAGGCCAGCGGCACGAGGCTCAGCAAGATCACGGCGGTCGCATACCCCTTTATATTGGAGCCAATACCGGGCATGAGGTCCATGTAGACAAGCGCGAAGAAGACCCACGCGTACGAGAGGAGGCGGATCCACTCGCTGAAATTGCCAAAGTGGCCAGCGGGATCGTTGGTGCAGCCGTAAATCGGATCGATGCGAACGTCATGCGACGGCTTCCAGTTACAATGGCAGTCGCTCGCACCAACGTGCCATGCGACGAGCCCAAGGAAGCCCGTGATGCGCATCGAGTTGCGGTGGATCATCCACACGACGCTACTTACAGTGCACTTGGCCATCGAGAAGCGCAGTTGCATTTTGTTTTCAGTGGGCGGAAGCCGCTGGATCCACGCACTTGTTTTACCAAGTAGAGAACGATCCAAAGCAGATAGAAAACGTACCCGAGCAGCGAGATGAGCGCGATAAAGTTGAGCATGATCGCTTCGCTGCCATTGGACGACGTGACAACTAAAGACGCTTCCGTGCCCCGGGACACCATATCGATGAAATTCGAGGGCAAATAGTCGCCATTCGGAACACGCCCGCCGACGATGCACGCCAAGATCGCCATTGGCGACGCGGCCTGTGACGCGACACGCGTCGATCGGACACCGGTGCTGCCAATGTACGTTACTTGAACGTGGGCCGTGCCAGTGCCAAGACCAAGGCACGCTAAGTCAGCGTACAGCTCGTTAAGCGATACGGTAATGGTATCAATCGTCCCGACACACTCGCCGCCGCGCCTGTACGTGAACGTGGTCCCACCGCTCGCTGTTTCATTCAAGCACGCGGCAAAGCACCCGTCACCGACAAAACACAGCTCTTCGATCGCGTCGCTCGTGTCGACGGGCGTCTGCGCGACGGTCGCAATCACCTCGGGAATCCATGCCGCCCACGTCGTACGGTTGCCCAGCGTTGCTAGCTTGATGGACGCCAACGGCTGCACCTCGTGGTGCTTGTAGTGGTACGACTGCAAGTTGCCGATCGTTGATCCGGCCACGACGTCGGCGTTGTCCACATACCGCGAACCCGAGTTCAAAGAAATGTACTTGCCGACAAAGAATGCCGGCAACGCGACGCTCATGCGCTCGAAACACTGCGTTCGGTTCGGCGCGTTCGTTGTTGGGTCCACGTACTGGATGGAACACCACCACGCCGTCTCGCGCGGCGCAAAGATCGAGTTGATGTAGCCGCTGCCACCGAGCAGTGTCGCAAAGAGATCGCGTCCGCTGATCTCGTAGGTGGCGGCGCCCGAGCTCTGCCCCGAAATGTCGATGAAGCCATCGAGAAATGTCGTTGGCGCAAACAACTGCTTGGTCCCCGCAATGTTGGCCAAACTCAAGTTGTACGTCGATGCCAGCTCTTTGGCGAGTGCGACGACACCGGCCGCCGGCGTCATTGCTGATGCGATCAACGTCGCCCGCCGCGCCAAGCACGAGAGAGATGCGGAAACAACTGCGCGCGCCACATGGCCAAGGCGGCGGCGTCGCTTGGGGATGTGAGCGGGTTGAGCGACGACTTGAATTGGACGTTCACAAACGTCTCGAGGGACATGCCTTTGAGGCACAACACGGCCTCGGCCACGTCCTGGAGACTCCCAAACGAAGTGGTTGGCGGGACGTAGCTGCGGATGAGCTCGGTGCCCCAGAGATTAAAGCCGCTGGCCGTGAACGCGGACAGTGCAGCGTTGAAAGCGGCGACTTCGGCGGCGCCGTCGAGCGACCGACGCAGCGGTCGTCCGTCGAGGTCCATCTGGTACACGGTCTCGGTGCCAGCGTACGAGCCGGCCCAGGTTCCGATCGAGCGCGGAAGGATCTTGAAGTCCAGAAAGACGTTGAGGTAGCGTGTCGCAGTGAAGGGCGTTGCGAGCGGAATGCCGGCGGTGGTGTAGAGCTGCGTGAGAAACTTGCCGTTGAGCACCGTGTCCCAGTGGAGGTTCACGATCGTCGTTGTCGTTGTGGGCACAAAGCCGTAGCGCGAGAGGAACCACGCTTTGAGCGGCGCGGCGGCGTTCCAGAGGCAGCCAATGACAAAGCAAAACCGGACAACGTGCTGCCATTTGGTGAGGCGGGCGAGCGTTGGAGCAGCAATCGTCGGAGACTCCGTGACGGGTTGGACGGCGGGGGTGTTGCTGAAGCGCGACGAGCGCACTGCATACGTCGTACCCGACGGCATGATGGCAGCCGGGTCTGGCCAATGTGTTGAACTGAAGAGTTGATGTCCTGTCTATTTGTAGCCAGGTCGTTGGTGAAACTGCTGCTATAAAGAGGACCATTGGCGTGTTTATGAGTCGGTGTCGTAAATAGACTCGAAAGATAATATGTCTCTTGCGACGCAAGGTGCCGATGATGATGATCATCACACGCCATCCGAGCTGGTGCCGTGTACTCGGACTCGTTGCCACGTAACACGAGTAGCGGCGTCAAGAAACAGCGAGAGAACGCGCCTGCGTTTTATTGTACTAGTTGATGGTATGTTGTAGAGCACTCGGCGGGTTGGCACTTTTCATTGTGGCATATGCCGTTAATAGGCTTATTTAATGTGTATATACGGTTATAAGTGGCGATGCCATAATTAACAACATGGTCCAGTTCTCGTGCTGTACCGCTCGCTTGGCAATACGGCATAGCGCAACGTACTCTCCAAAGTGTATTTTATCTGCATGCCAAGCCGATTTCGTTCCAAACTTGATTGGGGCGTCGAGAGTGGCCAACCGTCGAGGAGAGCCCGAGCACCGGAAAGCATTGCCTGTGATTGGCCAAAAATAATTATATTCTAGCCAATAAAATATACCCACCGCTGCTGTGCTGGAACTATGAGCATTCTTTTACTCGTACTAACTAGGCACTACAGCGCACTTCACCGCGTGCTCTCCAGTTATGCACGTCGTTGAATGATCACGTAACCTGACGCTGCGCGTTGAACGAGAACCGCTTTTATACGTATTCCATCGACACATCTGACGCGACGGCCAGACCATGCTCCAAGAATGCACCAAATCCTGCTCTACGTTGATGCCCATCTGTGTTGGTGCTGTGTAGACTTCAGTAAACACATACGAGTAGTAACTGCGATACAATGGATTTTACGCTAGTCGAGGCGCAAAAACTCTCGCGCAAGTGGGCTTCAGGGTTGTGGTTGTAGGCCACAAACTGCTTTGGGAGCAAATGGAGCTCGAGCTGCTTCTTCGCCGCCGCTCGGAGCAGCAGCCCGCTCGCCGTGCGTGGCAGCGAAGCCGGTGCGACAAGGATCGCTTTCATGTGCGCGACGCCGTGGTCGGCCGTGAGGTGGCGAAAAATGGCTTTGGCGATCGCGCCCAGCGTCGCCTTGCCGTCGTTCGATGGCCAGACGTCGTCGAGCTCGGCGACGACGACGATCGTGTCGGCGAACCCAAAAGCAAAGACACCGTCGTACGAGATGTGTGCGGACGCCGCCTCGACGCTGCGCTCGATCGCCGGGAGACGGAGGCGCCGGCCATCGACAATTGCAATCTCGTCGCGCCGGGCGTAAAAAAAGAGCTCGCCGTTGTGGAGAAACCCCGTATCCGACGTCCGGTAGTAGTGTGCAGCGTCGGTTGCCAGCGTCGCCTGGAACTGGCGCCGGGTACGGTCCCACTGCTGCCAGTAGCCGTCGCCGACGCCGTCGCTGCGAACCCAGATCTCGCCGACGTAGCCTTCGGGCAGCGCTTTCCGCGCCGTCGTGTCGACGATGCACAGCGCAACTCCGGGAAAGGGGCGTCCGCAGGCCATGAGCAGTTGCGTGCCAGAGCCCGAGACCCGGCGTGGGTCGTCCGCGCGCAGCAACTGGACCCGGCCTTCCGTTTCCAATAGGTGCTTGTCGACAAGGAGACTTCGAGGTGCGCTTCGGTCGTTTGCGTCGTAGCCGCAGAGCAACGTCGTTGTTTCGGCAGTCCCATACGCGCCTAGATAGCAGCAGTATTTGTACAGGATTGCGGGATACCAGAGACCACGTACAGTGCAGTTGGTGTGGGCGAAAGCCGGCGACGGCAAACCGCTTGGCAAATTGCTTGAGGCAGTCGCCGCGAATTGCATCGCCGATGACAAGCGCATGTCGCAGTGCGCTGAGATCGATGCCGGCAGCGACTGCGTCCGGCGTCTTGGTGGCGGCCGCGCGATACCCCGAGTTGGGCGCACACGTCATGGACGCCTTGTACTTGGAACAGAGCGCCATCCAAAGCGACGGCGTCTTGAAAAACCCGGCGGGTGGCATCTGCACCGAGCGCGCACCTGCATACACCGGTGCGAGGTTAAAGCCGACGAGGCCGTTGCTGTCGCATGGCGGCAACCACGAGAGGACCGTGTCGCCCTCTTGCGCGGTTGCCCACCTTTTCGCTTGCGCGAGAAGGTTGCCGTGCGTCACAACGACCGGCTTGGCGTCGCCCGTGACCCCCGACGTGTACTGGAGATACGCTACGTCGCGGTCCGACACACTGGTATAGTAGGTGGCATGGAACGTCGGCTTGGAGAGAATCGACTGGGTGGTGTCGGTGCAGATCCAGTGCAAGTGTTTCGGCCACTCGACGCCCCGCCGGGTGCGCAGTCGCGCCGAGAGCGTACTGCGTTGACTCTGCCGCCGGTACAACGTGTTGGTCAAGACGAGCGACGCGCCAGTCTCGTCGACCATGCGCTGAAACCGAACAATGTCCCGGGACAAGAAGTGCGGGTCTGGCGGGTGCACGGCGCAGGCGATCGCGCCGGCGTAGAGACACCCCCAGAACGCTACGGTAAAGTCGGCACCGGGCGGGAAGCAGAGCAGGACGCGGTCACCCGGTGTGAACGACGACGTCTTGGACTGGTGCTGGAGGACGCTGGCGATGCGCCGGGCTTCAGCGTCGACATTGGCGTAAGTGAGCGACCGGACTTCGTTGCCGTCGTCGTCGACAAAGAGGTAGCAGACGCGGTCCGGTGTCTGGATGGCCCGTTGACGGAGATATGCGAGGATCGTCGCGTCGGTCGTCGAGGAATGCGTGTGGCGGGGCAGAGCCATGGTTTCGTGGATCGAGGTCGTATCAAGGACTGTCGACGGCGCGTCGCGCACCGGCGAGCGAAGTGCGACGGCCTGGCACTCGGGACTCGGCGGCGGGCTCCCGTCGGTATACGTCAAAACAACTGGCGCGTCGCACCGTGTCGGCGGCGACGGCGGGCGCTGGCAGGCTGACGACGCTGCTACCGGTCGGGGCAGGCTCGATGGCGGCGACGTGATCATGTTGAGGTCTGGCTGCCAAGTGCAATCTCAGGAAATGGTCGCGACGATCGTGGTTGCCGCGCTTGCGTGGGGCCGCGACAGCTGTCATCGTGTGTAGCACGATGACACGGGCGCGTCACGCCTCGCTGGCCCTTGATGCACGCTATATTTTAATTCAACGAATCTTTCTATATGGTCCTTTTGTATGGACATCCAGCATTTGTAATTGTATTGCATGGCCCGACAAATAAAATTTGAAAGGCGTCCGATGAGTTGTTGGCGCGGCGACACCAAATTGCAGTGGCAGAAGAGCTCATTGCAAGAGCTTGTCCAGCGACGTGGCTTGAGCCTCATGGGCAACTAGTAAACTGTGTACGACTTGGTCGAGCTCTATTAGAGTCGCCTCCGGTAGCCTCGCTCCCATGCATGATTGCGATGCAGCTCGTACTGCCGAGTCGGGCGCATACTGTCTGGTCCTGAGATCGACGATCGCCGGCACTTCAGATATTTGGAGCAAGACCAAAAAAACAGTGTGGTTATGTCTTTGAGAATCCCAGTCTGCTCCGTGCTTCGTACTTGTGTACTGCTGCTCTGGTCAAAGGACTTTCCTTGGCGCCACCAACGACAGACACACTCTTGTCAAACCGAGCGATCAATAGCATACTGTACAGCGCCCAAAAACGAATCGCTCAATGTGGCCACTTGGTCATAGATGTTGACATATACTAGTATGTCGACGCCGTACTTGCGGTAGGCTGGATGCATCAAGTTGTGCTCGTTCCATCGAGAATTATAAGTGTTTCAATGTCTCTTCCTCGACCGCTACCTCGCACACCGTCCTACTTCCTCCTCGTCCTGATCGTCCCATGAAACAAAAGACTCGACACACTTGCAATTCTTACGCTCCGAGCCGCAGCTCGTGCTCAAAACTGCGAAAGTCGTCGTCCATTTGATCGGCATCCCAATCCGTGTAATCGTCCTCGTCCGGCTGCCGCACGAGGACGCCAAAGCGCAAGATATCGTCGTCGGCGCCGACGACGCCCGTCATTTCCTGGAGGTAGCTCGCCTTGTCGTGCCGCATCGCGACCTTGGCTTCGGCGATCGCCCGGCGGACGCGGTCGAACTGTGGAGCATCCAGCCGGCCAAGGAGTCGGACGACGTCTTTATGGCCTTTGGTCGCAGCCCACAGCACCGCCTTGTACGTAAACCCTTCGAATCGATGGCGCGACAGGAAAGCCACGATCTCGAGGTGGCCCGACGACGCTGCCCAATCGATCGCGCGCGTTGTACAGCCCTCGCTCCGGTGGCGGTGCAGGTACTCGACCATGGTCGCATGGCCGCGGTGGGCCGCGCGGTCCATCCCATGGGTCGTGCCGCCTTCGCGCCGGTGTCGATGGAGAAACTGGACCACGTCCAAATGGTTGTTGAACGCAGCGCCGTCGAGCGCGGCCGGCGAGCAGCCTTCGTGGCGGTGGGTGTGCAGAAACTGAACGATGCGCAGATGCCCGTGGCGCGCGGCGCCGTCCATGGCCGCGACGCTACACCCGTCGCTACGCTTCATATGCAGAAAGGTCACAATGTCGTCGTGGCCACAGGCGGCGGCGACGTCCATGGCCGCCGGCGAGAAGGCAAGCCCGAGACGGTGCAGTGTCTCAACGGCGCTGAGCTTGCCCGAGCGCACGGCGATCTCGACAATGTGCGGCGAGTGCCCTTCACTTCGATGCGCTTGAAGAAACGTCAGGACGTCGTCGTGGCCCTGGAGCAAGGAGGCATCGAACGCATCGCTCGTGCAGCCTTCGGTTCGATGGGCATGGAGCCACGTCACGACGTCGAGGTGCCCGGCCGCTGCTGCCTTGTCCATGGCCGCGGCCGTACAATGGCTGCTCCCGGCGGCGTGCAGCACTTCCAGCACGTCAAGGTAGCCTTCGCCCGCGACGTAATCCAGTAGCGCGTCGTATGTGGCGGGCGCATACGCGAGCTTGGCAAGGTCGACGCCGAGGTCCGAGCCGGCGTACGCTAAGAGCCTGGCGTGGCCACCGATGGCCGCGACAAGCGCGAGTGCAATCGGTGACGATACGTACGGCGCAAGGTCGTCGATCCAGCAGTTGCGCAGCGCAATGTCATCGAGCGTCTGCGTCGGGATGTCCTCGGCCGGCTCTCGCCACGGGTCGAAGCGGTCGTAGGCGTTGACAAACGGGTACTCGCGACGTACTGGGCCGTACAGACGCTCGTAGCGCGACCGCATCGGCTTGGAGCGGATCATGGCGTGCACGCGCACGTGGCGCATGCCAAAGGCGTTGGGCAGCGACGCGAGGTCGCCGGGCCACTCGCGGGCGTAGGCCTCGGCGATGACGGCGCGCTCAGCGATCGGGCTGTCGAGCGTGAGGCGGCCGTTGAGGTACTGCGTGAGCGGCCCGGCGTACGCGAGGATGTCGTCCTGGAAGGTCGAGTCGACAGAGTCCCACAAACCAACACTCATCGCCTTGGTGTGGCTTGCCTGTCTGCTAATTCGGACCGGAACAGAATTTGAATTCGAATGATGCTATGAGATTCTGTTTGGCGTCCAAATAGGATTTCAAACACTGGATGGTGCACTGGCTCGAAAGAAAGAGGGCTAGAGTGTACATGGGAAAGCCCGACGCTGGCCGCTCGGCAAGTCGAAACGCTGGATTCCATGTCGGTGCATGCATGGGGCGTCGCGTGCTCTCGCTACGGGTGCGGCTCGACGCCTTGGCCACAGGATCTTGATTGACCTCTGTCATTCCATACTCTGTATTTTTATATTGCACGAGTATCGATTATAAGAGGTTATTTAGCTGAATGCATGCATGCACCCTGGATGCATGGAGAGATGGGCCAATCAAACGCGCGCCACAGAAAAGTTTCCGCCAATCCTGTGGCGGCGTGCGGATCCAGCACAGAAGAAGTCGTTTGCTGCAACGAAGTCCAGCAAGCCCAACGACCGGAATGTCCAACGACATTCTATTCCAACTCTCGTTGCGTCTAGATGCATGTAGAGGACAGAGCAGAGCATGTACTAGTACAATAGATGCGGGTGCATCATGCGGGTCTGGATCCCTCACTGAGCTCCACGACATTGTCCCTCGATGGCTGTAGCCTGGATTGTTGCAGGACTCGATGGTTTGTCACGAGTTTGTCACCAGCAATGGCTTGAACACAACGTACACCAAGGTGTCCATTGCAAGCGAGCTACTAGTAGTCATGCATAGTGCGGTTGTAGAGTGGATGTACTGAGTACGTAGCAGGTGCAACGCGCGACAAGGTGACCGACTAACTGGCGCCGTGCTTCCATCAGTGTCCATCTTGCGAGGGTACGCACAGTGTACTTTCAGTTGCATCTTGCATCTTGCATGCTTCAAGGACCGAACGACGACGGTACTCTCAGCGAGTCTTTTGCGGTGGCATTTCATTGTCGTTCGATGTTGTGTTGTCCTCAGGTCACAACCCCCTTCAAAATTGGATTCCACCAGCGACATGTCGCCTGTCTAAATTCCTACATCCAGTACCGTTTCCGCTCCTGGAACAGATTGTTCACCTGCCACGACGGCACATTGTACTTGGATAGGCGAATTCCATGGGAATCACACCTTTGACCGGCCATCCGTCACCACCATCAAGAGGATGGGCATTCCGAGCCCGGTGCAGACTGAATTGCAGTCTACAATTTACCGCGCACCAAGCATGAGTCCGCACACTGTCACGTCGCCAGCTCGAAGCCCGCTGCCTTGCAGCCACGCTCTCTATGACGCCAAGGCGTCGCCCACGACACAAGGCTCCAGCACGAGCAGTAGCCTCACCACAACAGCGCGCGCCGAAGCCACGATCCTCGACATCCTCCGTCGACGGGCCATCCAGACACCCGACCGCGTCTGCTACATCTTTGTCGACGACGACGGCAACGAAGTCCAGTCGCTCACGTACGCCAATGTCGACGCTGAAGCCCGGCGCATCGCCAGCGTCCTCCAGCACCAGTCCAAGACGTCGCCGTTCACACCGGGTGACCGCGTCCTGCTCTGCTTCCCGCCCGGTGCCGACTTTACATTGGCATTCTGGGGATGTCTCTACGCTGGCGCGATCGCCTGCGCCGTGTACCCGCCGCACCCGCTCTTCTTGTCCCGGGATCTCGTTCGGTTTCGGCGCATGGTTGACGAGACCGGCGCCAAGCTCGTCTTGACCAACACGTCGTACCGGCGGCAGAGTCAGCTTGGTACGATCTCGGCGCGATTGCGCCACCAACGCGGCATCGAGTGGCCGTCGCATCTGCACTGGTTCTGCACCGAGAAGGCGTCGGCGTCGACACCCGAATTTGACGCGTCGCACTACATCCACGTGGCGCCAAGCGACATTGCGTTTCTCCAGTACACGTCGGGCACGACGGCGGACCCGAAGGCCGTCGTGATCTCCCACCGCAACGTCTTTGCTCAAATCAATCTCTGGACGCACATTAGCGAGAAGGACACGATGGTGTCGTGGCTGCCACCGTACCACGACAACGGTCTCGTCGGCTTCAACCTCGCACCCATCTTTTCCGGGAGCACGTCGATCCAGCTCTCGCCCCTTGGCTTTATCAAGAACCCGACGCTCTGGATGCAGCTCTGTTCCAAGTACAAGGCCGCGTTCACTTGCGCCCCCAACTTTGCCTACGTCCTCGCGGCCAAGAAGACGTCCGATGCCGTCGCTGCGCGCTTGGATCTGAGCCACTTGCACCATGCTACATGCGGCGCCGAGCCCATCCGCGGTGACTACCTCAAGCTTTTCGCCAAAAAGTTTTACGCCGCAGGCTTTCGCCCGCACCAATTCAACTGTACGTCCTCCTTCTAACGTGA